TGGTTGGCAATGCACAGCATCTCCCAGCCACTTGGATCCCACAGCCCAAAGCTAAGTGCCCACAGATACCCTTCTGTCACTCTCAGAGTCAACCAAGACCCTTTGTCAAAGAAAATGAATCCCTTTCTCAAGCCCAGCTTTTCCAGACCAGCAATAACAGAAAGTTGTTTCCCACAGCTCCTTGAATAAAGCTGGCATGTAGTGCTGGAGCTTGGGTGCTTTCTTGGTTCATCCTCTGTCTGCAAGAGCACACCTCCTTCCAAGTGCCACATGACAACTGTGTTCTTCAGGGCTGGAGAGAGGCCAAAAGCCAAGCTCCTCCAAGCTGTCAGCTGAGGCAGAGGCTTAAAAGCAGCTCCTTGGGCGGTGGCATGGAGCTCACACCCACGCAGGGTGGACGAGAGCAGGGCTGGATCGATGCAGAATCTGGGTCAGGCGGCACCCTCTGGGTGGAGGGGGGTTGTGGTATGTGGATAGTGGAGCCAATCATTGTTTTTTCCCCCTCCACAAAGAAAATGAGGGAGCAGCACAGGACGGTGGTCCCCAACTGCACACACAGATGGGGGGATTCTCTTCTACTTCTGCATAGAGGAGAAAAACAAATCCCCAGCAGCTTGAGGGCTTCCCAAGGAGTGGTCCGTGTTTCGGTGGCCCCTCTGTGTGCAACTCCTGTGCTCATTTGATAAACAGATGACCCAAACCCCACCAGGCAAAAGAAGCAAAGTACCCAGTGTTGCCCATGTATCCAAGCTGCTCCTTGAGTTCACACCTGCTCCCTTCCAATGCTGGTGAAAGTTGACACTACATTATATATATAAAAAAAAGAAAACCAGGACCCAGGGTCACGCTGATGTGAAGGCTGTGGCAGGTTCAGTCTCTCCTGTGCAGGACTTGGCTGAGAGCCACTTGGCATGGAATTGAGAGTTTGCACCTTAGCAAGAACAATTGGGTCCAGGATATCAAGGTGCAGATGGAAAGAGACTGCGGGGAAAGCAAAAAGGGGAAGAGTCATCACTACGAGTCAGCAGAAATAGAGTAGTGTCCTTGGGGCTTCAAATTCCAAAGCATGAGGGCATTCCCTGTGCTGCCTTCCATCCCCTGTGGTCCTGCTGTGGTTAGTGGGAAGGATCCAATTGGGACCTGCTGGCTTTAGGAAATGGTCTCAGAAGCAACTTGGTCCCAACGTATCCAGGAGGGAGAACTCTGGCAGTATCCACAAGAAAGTATCAATTATCCAATCATCTTTAATGAAGTAATTGTTGTGTAGGAAGCTGGAACCACAATAAAAGCTGATATAAATACAGCCAATTAATTGATCCAAAAGTTACAAATTAGGCAAGGAAGGAATAGCCTCATGTTAATGATATTTACAGTAGATTTTGTCGGGGCACAGCCAGACGGTTGTACTTTCCTTGCCAGTTATCTCTCCTCTTGCAGGCTGTTACAGCACAGAGGTGCTTGTTCTTGTTCCCCAGTAGCACAAGGCAGCAGTAACATGACCATAAACCAGGAAGGAAAAAACCAACAAAATAAACAGACCAAAGCCCCCCTCTCAGGCCAAACACATATGGCTTTTGCTGCAACTTCTGATCTCCTTTGCAGTGGGCCAGGCTCCTTTTGATTCAGGTTCTCTGGTTACAGCCATCATCTCAGCACTTAAACCTTTCCCAGAATTGCACCCTGCTGTCACCAGTGTCTCTTAGAGGAGATTCTCTCTTTTCTTTGCCTTTATTCTTTTTAATTCAGAGGAACCAAAGGGAGAAAAAATAATATTTGCTGCAAAAATTGGTAAAGAGGGAGGGAAATGGTCAGAGCACCCCGTTCTCGGGGCGGTCAGTGCGGGGAGAAGATTCCATGCAGGAGAGCTGGCTGCAGCTCCACAGAGCTATGGAAGGAAACAGGGAAGGGCACAGCACAAATAACAGTCAAACATATCTCATTACCCGTGCTACGTTCCTAGGTAAAAGCCATTAATGATTATTTTGCTATAAAATCATTTGAGAGAGCTCAGGATCCTACATCTGCCTCCAAAAGTGGATTTCAGGCCCTTACAGGTTCCTGCTCCTGGATATTCATGCACACGGAACTTTCTGGACTCACTCATACAAATGCATCGCTTTTGTTGATATTATTTCTGCAAAGAAAAGCACAAAAGCCCCAGGCAAGTGAGAAATAACGTTTAAAACACAGACAGCAAGTTATCAGGAACAAATAATGAAAATCCCCTATGGTTTCTAGAGCCAATCTCATTATTTTGGAGTGTTTAATTTATGCCTTCTGGCTACTTGGGTTGGTTAAACAGCAGTACCATCCCTAATGTCTTCAGCAGGAGGAAAAATAATCCAGTCACGTTTGCAGAACAGTTTTTCAAAGGCCAGCGAAGTCTGAGGTGAAAATCTCCCAAGCAGATCGAAATACAGACAGCTGCAGTCCTAATTTTAATAATGTTCCACTGTTCATTTGACTGTATGGATTTTATTTCAAACCAGATATCGTTTTAGGTCACAAATATGCCACAGGTTATTTTCTCTGCACTAACTGACTCCTAATTCTGCAGCTTACAGTCATTTTGCATTTGCTTATATAACCTTAAGTGTTCAGAATTGGGGGGAAAAAAAATACATGGAAAATCCTGAGGATCCTCAAAGGAACAGGGAAAGAAACTCTACCTTCAAATCCTCTTCTGCCAGAACATACAGAGAGAAGCACATTCTTCCCATTGACAGTCTGCAGGTCTGAACTCATCTTTCCCTACCCCAAAATGAAGGCTGCCTAATTTCATTAACAAACCACTTATTTACCACAACCTCACAGAATTCAACAAAAGTCCATTTCCAAGTCCATTTAATGAAAATCCATCACATCCTACTCGATGGCCAAAATCCCAGCAGATCTCAGGAGCCTTTCCCTCAGCTAACAAGTTGACCAAGCACTTGGGAGGATCAGGCAGTGTATTTTTTTCTTCCTGGCTCCCCCAGCTACATAAAGCTGCTGGTACAACCCTCAGGGTCTCTAGAGTAAGTCGTTTGACAATTGCAGCAATCCAGCAGGTACAAAATATTTCCTTCCTCCCTGACCGATTCCCTTTTTTCTTCCCTGCTTCCAGGGCCCCTCTGCAGCATCCTGGTGAAGCGGTTTGGCTGCAGGTTTGCAGTGATGCTGGGAGGGCTGCTCAGTGGGCTGGGAATGGTGTCCAGCTCCTTCTGCAAGTCCATCAGCCAGCTCTACCTCACAGTTGGGCTCATCACCGGTACGTGCCAGCAAGCAGCAGGAAAACCCAGCTGTGTGCTTGATGGGGAGAAGGGGAATGGGGAGGGTCCTGACTAAGTGCTCAAGTTTTTCCATTCATCTGGGAAAAAGGAGAATGCAACATCCCCCAGTGCAGCAGGAATCCTACAGCCACTAGACTTGGCCTTCACACCCCTTTAACACACTCATCCAAGCTCACCGTGAAATGCTTCTCTCTGGAAAAAGCTATAGGTCTCCAGAGGGCAAAATGGAGAGCAAAGATGTCTGTTCCTTTTAGTTGCTTCTTGGCCCTTTGTCTTTCAATAAAGCAGGATTTTTTTGTTGGTTTTTTTTTTTTTTCAATCTTGGAACGTAATGTGTTGGGATAATGTCCTTCCCAGTTTCCCTGGGTTTATATTTCACCACTCCCAGTCGGGGGAAATGTGGAGACAACTTTTTCTAACAAAAGACCATGTTGGTTTTGAACAGAAGTAACAGATGGGAACTTATCCTTTCCAAATATTTCTCCTGTGTGACTGACGTTCAACTCTTGGTTTTTAATAACACAAAGAGATTAATTCCTTACTTTGGGACCCATCCTGCTGGATCTTGCAAGCTATGCTGTGGCCACTGCATAGAGAGAAAAACAAGCAACTCCCTGAGCCCTGATGAAAGTGTCAGGAAAGCAGCACTGCTTGTTGCATGTGGTATAAAACCCAAGTTTTTAATGAACAATTCCATAACAATTTTAGGAATGGCAACGTGCCCCAGACAAATGTCAGTTTAGATCAGTATATTTAGTATACCCAAGAACGCAAGTAGTTTAATTTACACACAACATCCTTCTCCATTCCTAGTGTGGGTTTCTGAGTATTAATCAACCCCTGGAGGCTGTGGAACCTGGCAGGTGAGGAAATGCTTCAGTGGCAGATGAAATCACCTGTGGGTACACCCTGAATCTGTGCTGTTTTCACCCTTTAAGACAACACAGAGGGACCACATGTGGTCACTTACTCTTTTATTCTCACCTTTAGGTCTGGGATCGTGTTTCAGCTTCCAGGCAGGAGTGACTGTGCTGGGCTACTACTTTGTGCGGTGGCGAACGCTGGCCAACGCCGTGGCCTCCACCGGCGTCTCCCTCGGCTTCACCCTGTGGCCGCTGCTGTCTCAGTACCTGCTGAATGAGATGGGCTGGAGAAACACCTTCCTCATCTTTGGAGGAATACTCCTGAACTGCTGTGTCTGTGGAGCCATCATGAGACCCATCGGGTCACTTCCACAGCCACCCGAGCCTGGAGAGGAGCCAGGCAGCAAAGCAGAGGAGGCACAGCTGTCCAACGGAGTGTCTCCTCCCCACCCCGCACTCCAGCAGCATGCCAGAAGGACAACATGTTTCCAGGTGCTGCAGAAGTACCTGGCTTTTGACATCTTCTGCCAAAACAAACGTTACCAGATTTACACTATTGGAGTGGCCTGGATGATGATGGGGTTTGCATTGCCCCACATCTACCTTGTGCCTTATGCCATCCACAATGGGGTGGAGGAACGCAGGGCAGCTCTTCTTATCTCCGTCATCGGGTTCATCAACATCTTCATCCGCCCTCTCACAGGGTTGCTCTCGGGGCACAGGGTGTTCACAGGGAGGCGCATCTACCTGTTCAGCGTGGCTGCGCTCCTCTGCGGGCTGAGCAACTTCATCTGCATCATTTCAGCCGAGTTCAGAGTCCTCATCCTCTACTGCGTCATCCTCAGCATCTCCATGAGCGGGGTGGGGTCACTCACCTTCCAGGTGCTGATGGATGTGGTGGAGATGGACAGGTTCTCCAGTGCTCTAGGGCTCTTCACCATTGTGGAGAGCATCACTCTCCTCATCGGGCCCCCACTCACAGGTGAGAGAACCTTTGCAAGGAAAAAGCTGGCACAGTGGCAGTGGGTAAACTAAATGAATCAGCAGTTTTGGGGGAAAATTACAATTTCTTTTCTTTTCTGATTTCTGTGTGTATTGAGAAATACTTTCAACAGAAGCAGAAACATCACCTGAGTGGTGACTACAAAAAAAACCCCAAACCAACCAACCCCTAGAATTTAGAGAAGAGAACTTAACCCATCAGAGAATGCTTATCTTTTGTGTATGGCAATTTACTGAATTATTTAGGTTTAACATTCGTGTCAATTTATGCCTTTAGTGTGCATCTTCTCTTTGGCTTCTATTTCAGGTCTCCTGGTAGACATAACCGGTGATTTCCTCTACGTCTTCCACACCTCGAGCTTCTTTCTGATATCTGCTGCATTATTTATGGGGCTCAGCTTCTGTGCTCTGGAAAAAAAAAACAAATTGAGAGAGGCTTCCAAAGTACCTTTGAGTAATCCCTCCAGATATCCATACAGCGAAAAGCCAAGTGATCCACAGGCTGAAAGTCAACCCCCTCCAGCAGTCGTGTACATCACGAGCATATAAAAATAAAGAAAAGAAGGGAAGAAAAGAGCAACACAATGATGTGGTCTGTACAAAGCTACACATGGCCGAGCACTGATGACATATGAGAAAAAAAAAAAGTCTGCTTTCCACAAATGTCATCTTCCTTCTGCACTTTTACTCCCAGGGGCCATGTCAGACTCCAAGAGAAGCATCCAGACCATGGGATGAGCCCCAAACCCAGCACCAGCCAAGGAGATGAAGGACAGAGAAATCTGTGCTCTCCTAAAGCAAACCATGGGACAACAGCCACAGAAGGAGACAAAAAGCTGTGTCAGTTCAATTGGGTTAAGTCACTACCTTTAAGAAATCATTGGAAGTGCTGGACAACATGGATTAATGGCTATGCATAAGAGTAGTTCTTTCACTTGTAATTTTGCTGCACAAGTATCCTGGTTGCTTCCTATGCTGCAGGTGGCAAGACACTTTCTACAGGAAGAGTGCAATTATTTTCCACATCTCTAAATATTATCTGAAAGCAGCTGCATGGGTTGCAGAACTCAGACAAGTCTCTAGAAAGACCAATTATTTTCTCCTACAAGGTATATACACGAATTCTTCATGCCAAGAGCAGTTTCAAAGCCTGAAAGGTTCAACTCTAGAGCATCAAAAAGAAAAAAAAAACACCAAAACTTGGAGTGCCTGCTTTGTATAACTAGTGATAGCTCAAGTGCTGCTTGATATATCATAAAAGAGGATTCATGGCTTGTGCAAACACACTTCAGCATTACCTGGAACCAATTTGGGGGAGAGAGCAAAGGTATTACCATACCTAAGCATAACTGGATGCCTCCTTTTATAGGGCCAAATTCCAAGCAATTGTGGAAATAAATTCAGCTCTTTAGTCTTATATTTTCAGACTTAATTGCACCAGCATGCTCATTATAGAGAACTTTGTACAAGCATAACTTATATTTCTTCTAATCACAAGCAGGACTTACAAAGAACTCTGTGGGGGAAGGTATACCAAGGAAAGCCAGTGTTGCTGACTTTGCTTTCCTTACAGCCTTGACTGCAAGTGGCTTTTCCTGCTATATTCCCAGGAGGTAGGCTTCTCACTGCTCATGTGGTGGCTGCATCAGCCTCAGCATCAGCTTGAGGTACAAATTGTTCATATTCTGTATAATTCCTGATCCAACAGAAGCAGGTAAGAGCTCACAAAACACGGCAGGTGAAAATTACCCAACACATTAGAACCATCAGAAAGATGGAAGCATAAGATGGGAGTGAAATGGAAAAAGGAACAGCTCTCAACTGAACTACAGTGCTTACCTTGAGACCTGTTATACCAAACTCAACTGCAGTGCCTATCTAAGAACTGCCATATCAAATTCCTACCGACAAACCCACAGTTTTCTTTAAAGCTCCCCAGACAAAACAAGCCAACCAACCAAAAACCTGAATTGAACCGCTGGAAAACTGACTCCAAGATCTTCAGAGACTACAATGGCTTCACAGCTGGCCTTACACAGAGGAGGTACCAGCCCTTCAGAAGGATTTCTACTTCCACAGCTCAGTATCTTCGCCCAAGGATTACAGAACCAGTAGACTTTGCATTTCCTGATCAAACCTATACTTAAATAAGATAATTAGTGGGAGATATACATATCTAATCTCTCATCAAGTGCGTTTATTAAATTATGTAATGCTTACCTGGTCCATAGCTACAAAGTAAGCAGGGACTGGTGCTTCTCAACTTGCCAAAACAGACTGTTGTACATTCCTAGGAAAATGATGGGGCTTTCTCCCTCCCAAAAAGCAATGAAGAAGGATCAAGTCCCAAATCTCTTCTAGCTATTGCAAATAAACAGCTAAGCAGCTGAACAGATTGATATCTTTTCTGTGTGTAATTCTTAAATTTTTAAGGTTTCTCAACTTGGTGATACAACCTTTCTAACAGCCTTACAGAATTTAAGCTGCCTGAAAACAGGGTTGTCTCCCCTCATTACTTTCCACAGACCCTTTAGAAGTAATCCACAACCCAGAGGTTGGAACCAAATCCTGCACAGAGAAGAGGTAACCTTTTAGGCTGTGTTTCCACGGGTGAGTTAAGATGTCTGAGCTGCCATAGCAGAGAAAACAAAAGTTCAAGAAGCACGTTTTCTCACTGAAATGAAACATTCACCAGGAAATTCACACTTGGAAGATGGCAATCCTTAAAAGCCTTAGATACTCTGCCAATGTAATATGTGGAAAATATTAATATTTGCATTAAATGTGGATATTATTTATTAATATTTAATATTAAAAAAAAAAGTCACAGTAAACTTACACACCTTAAAAAACCTCAGAAGTGCAAAATCACTTGATTTAAGAGCTTGGCTTGCTGTTTGCAGACCTGGCTCATAGCTGTAAGAAAAGAAACAACTAATAGATGAAAATTCCCTGAATTCTGGATTTGGTGTGCTATCTACCCAGGCTATATCAGTCCACACTGTGCAAACTACTCCAGCAAACAGCAAGTGCTTGGAGCATTTAGACCATTAAACTATACAGCCAGTACTGAGTGAGTAAATGCAGTACTTATAAACAGAAGTAATAGCATTTTACCTCTTTAAACACAGTTTCCCCCTCTTATTAGTCAATCCCAGTATTGCTCTGTTTGTATTGACTGGCTCCCCTGTGCTTTCTCTGCTCCTGCTTTCTCACATTACTCCTTCACTTTCTACTTAATGACAGATGTGGCTTTAAAGTATGTCAACACTTACCACTTAAAAAGGTACACATTAAAAGAGATTTGTTACTACAGTAGCAAAACATTCTAATATAGACATGGTCTGTAGCACCTTTGCTGACAATTTTCATATATATATATATATATACTCAAATATACAGATATATTTACGAATATATAGATGTCTATATACATACAAATAGATAATGACTTCAGTTGATAATTATGCTAAGAGCTGAAGCTGCTAGCACAGGCCTGCCTTAAATTTTTGTACCAGGTAAAAATAAATGACTTTCCTTTCACTTTCTCTGTCTTCCCATGCCGTTACCACGTTAAAATATTTAGCATAGCTGCATTCAGCGCAGCTTCTTTGCTCATCCTTCTATTTAATGTGGTCACAGGCAGATATTTTGTGCCGTGTGGTAGGAGAGGTTTGCCAGCCCAGCACTCTTGTCACTGGTGCCATGAATTTGGTGGATCGGTCCAGGTTCAATTTGCTGTATGTGAAAATCAATCGCACTTGAGATAACAAAAAAAGACAACACGTACTCACAGCCTGTTCCCTCCTCATCCACAGCAGAACCTCTGTGCGTGTAATTGCTTCAATAAAAGCAATGCAAATTTCTGCAAAGTCCCACACCCCCTCCCAGGTTTATGATGTTTATTAACAGAACATGATGTTTATTTACAGAACATGAATCACACCTGAACCCAGTTGCAACACGTAAAGTCCCGGTGTTTCCACTGAGCTGTGTGAGTTCAGAACCAGGGAATTGCTCTGCTCTGTGCCCACTGTAAACCGGGGTGGAATCACCTTCAACTGTTATAATTCACTCCCTGGCTTTGCCTCTTTTTTTTTTTCCCAGGTAATTTATCTCACTGGGAATGTATTGCACCCTGGTTTCACCTTTCCCCTCAGCTTGTAATCCTTTCGTCTTTTATGAAAGGAAAAAAAATTCCATTTTCATTGCCCTTCTTTAGTCTTCAAGATTCAATCCCATATTTAAACCGGAACGTGCAGCACCACCACAGGTGCTTCCTAACTGGAAGGAGAGCAGGATTGGGATTGAGCAGGAAAACATATACATACGTGAAAACTCTATGAGTGATTAACTAGGGAGCGAGGAAGAGTCACTCCTTTTCAGAGCAAAGCTTTGCCGTATAACAAAACACAAACACCACGACACAGGGTCATTCATTTTTATACATTTATGTATACTTATATATTTATATATATATTTGTATATATCGTATACTATATATGTTATTAATTTATACCTAGGGGAGGAGGAGCCGCCCCCACACACACACCTGAAGGGAACGGGAGCCACCCCGCCCGCCCACAAAATGGCGGCCGCCCCCGCCCCGCCTGAGGGAGATGCTCGCGCCGTGTCACGCCCACAAAATGGCGGGTGGTGGTGTTTCCTCGCCGGCCTGCAGCGGCCGGTTTGTCTCCATCCCACGGGACACCAGGTCCCTGAGCTGTCCGTGATCAGCACTGCCCGGGGTTCCAGGGGAACGGGGTGTCCCACAGGCGGGCCCGCGATGGAGCTGGGGCGGCTGGAGTACCTGCAGGCGCTCGTCACCGAATTCCAGGTGACGGACAGCCCAGGTAACAAACACCGCTGCTCGCTCACTCCCTCCCCTCATGTTGAGTGTTTCCTCACATACCTGATGTTTCTCCCTTGCAGAGGCCAAGGAGCAGGTGCTGGCGAACCTGGCCAACTTCGCCTACGATCCCAAAAACTACGAGTACCTGCGGCAGCTCCAGGTGCTGGATCTGTTCCTGGATATGCTCACCGAGGACAACGAGACCCTTGTGGAGTTTGCCATTGGTAAGGGCTGCCCCGAACACCTTCAGCTGGCACCTGCCTGGCAGGTCCGGGGACACCAGGTCCCACACCTGGTTTGGTGGTTAATCCCCCACCCCACCCCACCCCCGCAAAATGTATCAGCAATCAGGCTCCAAAAATAGACCCACACTGTGCTGATAAAACCTCATTTAGTGCAGAACATGTGGAATAGGGAGAGAAGTCAGAGGCAGGCATGTCCCCCCCTGTCCTGATAGAGCTTGATGAAGACACTTTCTGGAAAGGATTTTGGTTTTTTTTCCCCAGACCATAAGTAAACACTACCTGATTGACTTTTTTCTAAAATCTCTCCTATAGAGAAGCAATAATTAATACATAAATTTAGCCAGATATATTGTACAGGTCCACTGTTACCATTCTGCTATTGACAGCTGGTCTTCTAGAATATTTACTTGACACTTTTTAATAAATTCTCTGAGAAACTGCCTTATCGTGATTTTTTTTTATGGTCTGAACATAAGCTAAGGGGCCAGATCCTGTGAGGGATTCTATGAGATGATAATAAATATACTTGATTTTTAAGGTTTGTGGCTTCTCAAAGTTTCAAGTTCAAACATTCTGTGCCTCTTACCCAACATTGTTATGTCCATTCTCTGGTTTTCTAAAACACGTGGAGTAAACTGCTGGCTGGTATCCTCAGTTAGGGACAAGCGATCCTGGAATCATTCTGTGGAAGCAGTTATGTGCAGCCGTAACAGTGCCCTCTAATGACACACAGGAGGAGGAATGTGCTGGTGGAAAATCTCTGGAAAGCATCAACAAAACACGGCCTAGGGAACCGTGAAGAATTTTCCATCCAAACCTCACAGAAAATCTCGATACTTACTTCTGTGTTAGAGACAGGACAAGCTTAAATTTGAATCTGATTGTGACAAAGACCAGGGTGTGGAGAGTTTGCCTTGTCAGACACTTTCTTTTGCCGTTTCAGGTGGTCTTTGTAACCTGTGCCTGGATAAAACTAACAAAGAGTACATCCTGGAGGCCAACGGGGTGGAGCCCATCATCAACTGCCTGTCCAGCCCCAACGAGGAGACTGTGGTGTCAGCTGTCACCACGCTGATGTTCCTCACGACGCCGCAGTCACGGCACCAGACCACGGCCTTGCCCGTGGTGGAGTGCATGCTCCGCTTCTCCCTCTCAGCCAACAAACGGCTCAGCAACCTGGCAACCCTCTTCCTGGAGGATTACTGCTCCCCTCCTCAGGTGGAGGAGGCCAGGAATCTCAGCAAACACACAGCAGTGGGGATCCCCCTCCCCAAGGACTGAAGCTGTTTGAGAGGGAAACTGCCCTCTGTTCTCACTTTCTGCTCAGCAGGTCAAGAGCGTGTCAAAAAATGTTAAAGAGGGAAGCTGGTCCTACCAGCACTGGGGTTTAGTTAACAAAGATGATGGTGCAGCACTACCATGGCAGCTGGACCAAGCATGCAGCTAAAACTACCAGCAAATATTTAAAATAAAGCAGGTTATGGCTGTTGCAGAGCACTTTGCCAAGTGCAACCCAGCATCCAGCTTGCACAAATAACCCTTCCCAGCAGTGAGGGGTTTTCTGCTTGGGTTATTGAGCAGCTTATATCCCCTCCAGTTCCTGGCTGATTTTGCTGCAGCGCTCCCCTTCAGTGTCAATGACAAGTGACATGGAGCGTCAACTCAAATGACTTCAAAATGTCACAGAAATTTATTCCTCCTGCAGAGAAAGAAGGAGTTTTCCTGCCCTGGCAGTTCACAATCTTTCTACATCCCTGTGGAACTAGTTATGCCACCCTCTCATGGTGGCATAGGCACCCAGCTCCTGAGTCACTGCACAGGGCAGGCTGTAACTATCTTTTAAATCAAGAAGGGGAAAGTTGTTTTTCTTTCATTACCACTGGTGAGGAAGGTGAAGATTTAAAAAAAAAAATGGCTCACAGCAGTCTGGCTCATGAGAGCTGCTGTCTTGTAAAACCTTCTCTTAATAAAACATTAACTTGAATGCTGTGTAATCAGTTCTGTATGAGCTCATAAATATTTCTCTGCAGCACTTGCAGCCTTTGCCCACTCTTACTCAAGCACATGGGCCAGAAATCGAGGCCAGCTTGGTCTCCTTTCATGATCAGCCAATGAGGCAAGAGAAAACCCAAAAGCCAGGGTGGCTAAATACATAAAATTTAGAAGGTTTGGCTGTTGAGCCCGGTGCCCCCTGAGAGACACCCACGCTGTGTCTGTTCAAGTTTCAAGAGCTTTTCTTCTTCCTCTTCTCTCCTCCTCTCCACCCCCGGACAGCACAAACCAAACAGGAGCGAGGTTAAACACACACACGCAAAAATCCAACCAACCCACAGCTGCTTGTGTTTTACAGTTTCTCTTCTCCAAACAGCAAACATCCAAAATGCTACAGAGGTTAACTGAGTGCAGAGGAATCTTCCAGAAATGTGGAGAGAGTCAGCTCTGTACCAAGTCTGACAGTGGCAGCTCATTTGTTATTATAACTGACCCCGAGGTGACGGTGCTCACTGGCTCCTGGGAACGGGTTTCCCTGGCATTGGGAAGGGCACAGCATCCCCTTCCTGCACTACTGCCTGCGCTTGCTTTCCAGGATGGCCTTCCAATTGTCCGCCCAGGAGAGCAGGCGCCGGCGCGGGGCCGGCAGCTGGACGTGCCTGTTGTGGCAGCAGGTGAACAGGATGTGCTCCCAGCTCGGGTTCGGTTCCGCACCTGGGGAGGGAAAAGGGGGAAAACTGGAGTCAGCTGGGGGTGACTCCCTGGCCAGCAGCCAGCGATGGAAGCACTGTTCAAACCTTGGATGGTGTCCTTGTCGTCAAACAGCAGGTCAGCAGCTACGACGGTCTTATCTCGGGTCAGAATAATCCTCTCCACAAACTCGGGCCCCAAATGTTTCTCTACCCACTTATACTGCAGAGACAAGGAGTAAGAGAAAATCCAGCTGTAGTCTCAGTTTGCACATCGCTCGTGCCAGGTCAGCCCTAGTGCAGTAATTTTTTCCCCTGTAAGCCCACATCTCTGTCTAGGAATCCCCGTGTGGAGCCTGGCCACAGCCCAGGACGGATTTAACCTGTGACAGCCTTCACTCAACACTGCCCTGGCCATGCTGAACTGTTGAATTTGTGAGCAGCACTGGCTGCTTGCCCAGAGCACGTGGATTGTGCCCATCCAAGTCACTCCAGTGACCAAAGTCTCCCCTCCATTCTCGTGCCAGTGGCAAACAGGACTAATTCCAACACCACAGCCTCCTCAACTCAGCATTGGCCTCTTTTGGGGCAGCTGGATATCTCAGTCTCCAGATTTAGACAGAAGGTTTTGTTGGTTGAGGATTCTCCAGCGTGGAATCCCCTGGGAATACCCATTCCTTGTAGGGAACTACAACAGTTTCTTTGCTATCGCCTCCTGATAAACTGGTCCCAAGCCCAGCTCCAAGAGCTCAGGGCTCACGTGCTCCATAGTAATTCTGGTAGCACGTGGCACTGCAAGATTCCCCATCCTGAGCTACTGCTCCGTGTCTGGGCAGCTGTTCCTCGGACAGGGATTGAGGGAAGCCTGGCAGCCAGAGCAGCCACTGCCTTAATAAAGGAATGGCTCTGTCTTGGTGGTATGAACCAGCAAGGCCTTGCAAAAGCAGCATTAAACCCAGCAAAATAAATTCTCTCCCACCTTTTCCACGATGCAGTGCTCGTATTTCCGGAGAGGACTCGTGCAAATGAACACCTGGGTGCTGAAAAGAAAACAGCTTTCATTAGCAGTCAGGGGGGAAAGTGTGTATGGTCATGGAAAAGGGCTGCAGAGTGTCCTTACTCCTGCATGCGGATCATCTCCTTCATAGCTTCAAGGGCTCCTGGAATTGGATCCAACCTCAGGAAGAAGCCAGGTGACTCATAGACACTGGCTACCTTGGCCTGGAAGAGACAGAGGACAGTCAGCAGTGCCTATGCTTTGATCCAAGATGTCCCAGCAGTTCTCCAGTTATCCCGTGTGTAACAGGGCCAGCACTTTGCCGAGAGAGGTGATGCTTCCCCCCAAGAGTGGATTATAAAATTTCTCACCTTTTGGGTTCCAGGAAAAGTCCAGCCCAGGCACACAAGAATTCATTCCCTGGTGGCTCATTCGGAGTGAGGAGGCAGAGCTGACCTTGACCTGGATTTGTTCCCACCACAAACAGCCCTGACCCACAGCTGGAATCACTGAGCTCTGGCAGAGGGACAGCTCCCTCCTCACCCCTTCCACCAGGTCTCTCTGGACTAACTCTTGTGAAAACCAAAGGAACAAGTTTGAGGCTTCTGCTCCTCTGTCATGCTTGGCTGAGATTTGTTGATGACTCAGGAATTTACCAGGGAAAACTGGGCAGACACAAGCACTGCCCAATATCCCTCTTTTCCTTCGGAGCAAACAGGGCAAAGTGGCGACCGTGCCAATGGCCAAGTCAGCACACCCACACATTTGGGGTGAGTCCCTTCAGCAAGAGGGAAGAGTGAGGATGGGAGCACTGGGAAAGCTCCGTGTCTTTGCTGCTTTCTGTGATTTTCAATCACCCACTAAAACACCCATTGCTGAAGGAGCAGACCTCGACTCCAGCACGGTTGGAGCTGCTCCTCTGTGGTGAAGTCTGCTCCAAAGAGCGTCAGACTGCTGCAGAAAGTTCAGAGGTGGATCCCTGTGCTTCCCCAGGAACCTCTGGCTCCCTGGGGTGACCTGTGCACCCCGTGACCCCCAGCTGGGCTGGGTTTGGGGGTGCTGTGGGACAGCACTCCCTTCACCTGGCTCAGGGCACGGGGCCCCACGATGGGCTGAGCAGGGGGATTAAGGGCTTTATCCCTGTTGTGTCTGCACCTGCTCTCGGTGTAAACCCACCTTCCAAACAGGCATGTGGGATGCCACGTGAATCAGAGAAGTCATTAATGGTGAAAAAGTAGGAAAGGAGGTTTGTGCTAAAGTTAGAATAATTTTTAAGTGAGTGTAAACAGGAAAGAAACAAGACTACTGGAGGAGCAATGTTATCCCATTTTGGCTAAAGTACCCAAAAGTGGTACAGAAAGGTATTTAATATGATACAGCACAGTGGCATTTATAGCCTCTAAAAGGAAATGCAGTATTTCCAGGGCAATTCCAGTGCCTTTAGGTAGGACTGTCCTTCTAGTCCTTTTTTTTTTTTTAATTTACTGATAAGACATTTTCATACATTTTATTATTATGAAATTCATTGGTTTGAATGCAGTTCTGGTTAGTTAACTTTAAAGATTGCTCTCTGTTGACTGTTCAGTGGCCTGTGTTAAATCAGTGTTTCAGAGTGGGTCACAGCCCATGGGGTTTTCTCCCCCCTTATCACACATCCCATCATGGCAAAGGACCCACAGCAGTGCTGAGGCCACTTCCAGGTTTAAGTTTGACTCTCAGACAGAGAGGTTCAGCTTCCAGTATCTCTCTACCCTGAGACACACGAATCTTACCTTCCCTGGGGTCACACTGTGAACTTCAGAGGTGTCAAAACAGCATTTTTCCACCAGCATTAAAGTCATACGTTCCCATGCCACTGAACAATTTTGAAAACTTAATTCTTGTTAAGTATTCTTCAAAGACAGGCTGCAGCCTTTGCTCAGAAATTGTACAAGGCAGCTTTAGAGTCCAGCTGATGGTCTCTTTGCTCTGTATCACCAGTGGAACATCAACATAAAGACCATTTCAATGAAGAGGCAATGAGAAGGAGTTGGCATTAAACCAGTCTCCCAGATCCCAGAGCTCACTCAGTTATCATCATCTGCAAATACTCATAAATCAACAGCCAGAAATTTGGAAGCACTGCCTGATTTCACACGCAAATCAGAAGAGGCTGAGGAGTCTCTGGGTGCAGACGTGGCAATCAGATCTGCCCAGATCTCTGTTTCCATGCAAAGCCTCCCTGATCCCAGCAACAATTCCCTGGAGCTCTTCCCAAGGAGATTGAATTACAGACTCAGGGCTTGTGTCTGAAAGCTCTTTTATCCTACAGCAAGTCACCAGAAACTGGCAAGTTTCCACTACGTCACAAGAAAGTCTGGCTTTTGCTGGCAAAAGAAAATCGATTTGATGACTCTTAGAATCAAAAGCCATTTCCCTCCCCCACAAGAAACAAAAAGTGATTAGAAACTGAAAGTAAAACCATTTTCCTTCCTGAACGTTTCCTTTTAACTTCCATTAGCAAGATAACAACTTGGATGCAAAACTGGAGTGACTACCTCTATCCCTAAGCTTTCCCGTTGGCATTTAAAAAACCAATTCTAGACACCTAAAAATAATTCTAGAAAATTTTGCCCCCGCTGGAGGTGTTGAATCCTTTTTTGAAACTGTCTGGGGCCAGGAAACACATCCCAAACTCTTGGGAGGTAAATCCCCATCAAAATGGCTACACATGCAGGGGGGCAGATAAAGAAAGTTTTGAACAAAATAAAATGGATTAAAAGTCTTTCTAAATAAAATGGATTTACAATGTGAAATCAATGATCAAAACAGAAATAAAACCCCAAGTAATGGCTCCAGTTTCAAGGGGCAGCTGCTCAGCACCAACAAAGCATAAACACCCCTCAGTAAGAGGCGATTCATAAATCATTAGCACAGCACTTCCCACCCCCTGGCATGAGAGTATCCCACACCCTGGTGGTTCATGGACAGGCACAGCCGACACCTGCCACAAAGAGCCTGGTGTCCAGCTGATCCCTGGTGTCCTGCTGATCCCCTCCTTTCAGCACTGACAAAGTGCAGACTCAGTTTCCCTGCACGGACATGAGGCCCCACAGACCCCCCGGCACAGGATGGAAAAACTGTCCTCAGTGTCTGGGCTGCTGGTTCCTGCTGAAGCTTTTCCTGCAGCTGTGGGCAAGGAGAGACCTTCCACAGGGATTCTCCTGCCTCACAGACACCCTGTACAGCCACGGCAGAACTAACAAGGGCTCTATTTTTAAACTATTTTATGATTTTTACATAAAACCCAAAGGAGCTTCAAATCTTAAAAACTTCATTGTTGTGGCTAAAGCAGCCCAGAACTCCAGAGGTTACTGAAGGAGACACACAGCACAGCTCCACAAAGCTAATTTCCTTAGGAAGCCAGGCTAGTAATGAACAGCAAGATAAGAGCTTTCTGCCACTGCTGATCTGCGTGGGACTCAAACCAGTTATCTGGTTATTCCATTGCCACACCTAAGGGCTGGGGAGAAACAGGATGAGCACGAACCAAATGAGGGAATGGGAATGCCAGAAATAGAACAAAACACAATTTTTTTGATAGATCAGATTGTAGACCTTCAAAATAAGAACAAATAAAAATTCAAGACCCCTTTAATTACCTGCTTTTTTTTTTTTGTCCATATATACCTAAACAGGATTCACTTAAGGAATACTAATTTAAACGATAAATCATGTCTGTTTATGTAAAATAATAACCAAATTCATGCCTGCTGGCTATATTTACAGGTTCCTAGGTCCAGGAACTTCTGAGCATCAATAGTCATTGATTAGAGCTCGGGCAGTTTGGAGCCTGTGGAAATGCTGACTGGACCCAGCATTCCCATCCATCACCCTGGTGCAGGAGCCTGGAACAGGAAGGAAATCAATGTGAATTGTTGTTTCTGAGCAGTAAAAAAAACCTACAGGCTCAGTACAGGACCTTAAAATTAGCAATGAACCTCTCAGGGAAAGTGTATGGCACAGCCTGGATCAGCATCCAGGCTCTGTAAAGAGTCCTTGACTGTCCTGCAGTGACCAGGGGGAAGGGTGAAGTCTGGATTCACAGTAGTTTTGATTTTGCCTTGCAAACCTCTCTGATATTCATTCAGTCATTAGCAGACATTAAAAATGGCAACAGTTTGCATGGATGTAGGGTGTTCCAGAGCTTTCTGCATGCTGCTCCTGATCATTACCTGCCATGCACTCTGCTTGTCAGGGCATGCAGAGGGAATATGGACACAGGATTTCATTAGCTGTACAAACCCATATATAACATTTATATTTCTTGTCCTGCTGTGGAGCCACATTAACACTCACAGAGCACTCAGGGAGCTTTGGGTAAGTTATTACTCCTGCTGCACAGCAAGAGCAGGAACACGAGTAGGGTAAAGAACAAGCTGAACATGGTTCAGTGAAGAGTCTGATGACAGAATTGCTCTTTGCCAATTCCTGCACACACTTCCCTGCAAAGGGCTGGTGATCCTCCTGGAAGACATCACTAATTATCATTATACAAAACAAGGCTGCACGAAATGCAAAATTAAAAATACTGTGAACCCAGACTTCACCCTTCCTGCTGGTCACCAAGGGACAGTCTAATCAACAGCTATCGAGGCTCAAAAGTTCCTGGAATTAGGAAAATTATAAATATAGAGAGTAGGCATGAATTTGGTTACTATTTTACATAAACATTATTTATTATTTAAATTAGTATTCTTTAAACGAATTCCATGTAACTATACACGGACAAAGGAAGTTGTAGGTAATTTAAGGGGTCATGGCTGTTTAAAAAATACTGACCCGACCCTGAGCTCTGCACAGCCAGGGTGGGCAGGGAGAGGTTTCCGGGCCGGGTGAGGAGGGTGAGGCTCGCACTCACCTCCAGGTCCTCCCGCAGGTTGCGGTACTGCTCCCGCACCGAGAAGCCCCTGCGCTCCGCCAGCTCCACGCGCGGCTCCGCCGGGAAGCGGGCGCGGAATTCCCGCAGCACCGCGCCCTCGAAGTCGGCCAGGACTCCGTCCATGTCCACCAGCACCCGCAGCGGCCCGGCCGCGCTGCCCATCCCGATCCCAGATCCCGGTTCCCGGCACACGCGGGCGATGCGGGCGGCAGCGCCCCCGGCTCCGGCACACGTGGGAGGGACATGAATATGCATGATGGGACATGAATATGCATGAGGTGGGCGGGGCTCCTCGGGGCAGCCCCGCGTGGGAACAGCGCTGGGATCCGCCAGGAACCGAGGAAAAGCGAACAGCACCCCCCAAAACCCTTCGGGATCCCGCAGTGGGCACATTCGCAGCACGAGGGGGAGAAGGGCGGTGGGACAGCAGCAGCATGGCTTGGCCAAAGCCTCAGCAACCATAAAGGAGCACTAATAAAGTTCCACTGGGTTTGGGGATTGCCAAGGAAATATAATTTGATTACTTCCCATGCTCTACCTGCAGCCGGTCCTGCAGCCCAGGGGACACGAGGGATAAGAATCCTCTCTCCCCCCATGCAGGAGAGGAGGAGCACGTCAGAGCAAATCCAGTTTTGTAGGTTAAGCACCTCGGGCTAGGGCTTCTCCAGCACTGATCTGGAAAGCCTGGGTGCTTTCAGGCACCGGTTCTTCCAGGAGGAGGGTGGAAAAGCTGCCACCAGACACACCAGCTCCATACAAATCCTCTGCTGTGGCTTATCCTGCAGCAGGTCCCTCCAGGACAGCAGAGAACTCCACAGTTTGGACTCACAGTCACCTCCCTTTTTAGGATCCTGTTTTGGTTTGTCTTTTTTTTTTTGTGAGGAATATAAACTTTCCTCTATTTTCTTGAGATAAAAAAGTATCTTGAATAAACCAGATTAGAGATACCAAGCCATATTCCACATTTCTCTGCTCTAGAAGACAAAAATTAAGAGATAAGTCAGACAATCTCTTCAGGGGAAGATGGCACATGATGGTGATGTTAACCAAGTGCAATGACTCTCCTCCTCTGCTGCATCCCACCTGTGCTGGAGTAGGGCATGTTGGCTGAGACAAGGACAACTGAGAATAAAGGCAAAACCAAAACCACGAAATAAAACCCACACAGGAAACACAGCTTCAAAATTTCTATATTATTTACTTTTAAGCAACAATCCAGCTCCGTGAAATTACAACACACACTTTTAAAGGATGAGATTTTCACCTCATGGTCAAGCACCAGCATGATCATGCACAGCATTGAGTCAGTTGTAAAAAAAAAATGCCCTGTAATTCTTATTTATATGATCCACTCCACCTTTACTGAATAAAGTCTGAATCAGCCCCTTCCCAGCACTAGGCCAGGTGGCTCTGGTCATCAGCCCTCTATTTGGCACAGACCCTGCATCATAGTAGTCCAGTATCAAGATTTATTTTGTTTTTAAAGGCAGCATGGTGTACATTAACCACTCAATGATTTATATGGCACAGCAGGGCTCAAGGCATTTACCACATGCAGTCAATGAAGCCTTTTAGATCCCTAAATCCCACATGTGGAGGGAAGGGACCGCTCTTGCTGATTGTTTGCTGGCCTGGGTAACCAGGATTCTAGACCCTTGTAAAGCTAAGGGGTTCTAAAAAAAAAACAAACCTCAGTACAAAAACCCTCTAAGCACACTTAGAACCAAGCTACTCTCCTTTGAATTACATTACAATACTTCATAAAGCTTTCCCTCAAGTCTATCACTAGAAAACACTCATGTCACTTCCAGTAGATCTGGGGGAAACACAGGACAGAAGTGGAAAAAACCCTTGACTTCAAAAAAAGATGGAGTACATAAAGTGCTTCTTTTTAATGAAAGAAATTTGAGATGTACAGTCAGGCTCAAGTTGTGCAGTTCACAAGCATGGGGGAAAGAAAACAGACACGAGTTCAAAACAGTCAGGAAGGGAAAGGTTTAACCGAGGACTAGGCTGGACTTGCCACCGGGTGGATTTCTCCTGGACGGTGCAGGTGCTGGTGCTACTGGGCTAGGAACAGGTGCAGCAGGCAGGGATTTTTCTTCACTCTGACCTGGGGCAGCTTCTACATCAGCCTCAATGTTTTCTAGAAGAAAAGAAGCTTTTAAGGTGTTTGATGTGGATGAGGAGAGCCAGATGTTTTGCTGGCTCCTGTCAGTTCTCTCCCGGTGCACAGACACACTCGGGTGCTGCTGCAACCCGAGGGCAGGGCAGACTCAGCCCTCAGAAGTGTTTCTCAGATGGACTCTGCCTTCCAGCTCGGTTTTGGGTGTTCATCAAGAGCCACATTCACTCAGCTGCTATTAGGGGACACCAGCAATTCATTTTTCTTAATGACAAGCAGCTCAAGGCTTAAGACTTGTACATATAATTAGTCAGCGTGTGACTCTGGCAACAGTAACTCAAGTCTGAGCAGGTGCTGGAAGCCGAGTCACAGAAGCACCAGCAAGAGCTCAAACTACATTCCCAATTTCGTAACTGGAGGGAAGAGGATCTGACACACTTCTGAGGCTTCACACAGAACAGAGCAGGGAACAGCCATGCATGGGGAGCCTCTGATTGTACACTCCCTGGGAAGCACATGATAGTTTATTTTAAGTCCTTCTGAACAGCCACAAGTGAAGACAGGACACAGAAGGAATTCTTCACAGGAAGCACTTTAGATACTGTAGCAAATAACTAATGTATCTGCTTCGCTGACACTGAGTACAGCAAGTACATTAGCATCTCACATTTTTATGGACTAACACAGTCACTTCTGAGCCAAAGGCCCAAATCAGCACCAAGTGGCCCCCTGGGTACTGGGGGAGTGAGGGGAGCAAAGCTTCACCATCAGCTCTGTCAAGATACACCTCACCTGTTTTCAACAGACCCCTTAGTTTAATCTAAAGAACACTAGTCCTGGGTTTGGAGGATTCAGACAACAGCTGCACATTCACCCTAAGCTTCACGTTTGGTAAATCTTGATTAAATTCCCTCCCCCAGCCTCCTCCTCAAGCTGCAGAGACACAACTATTTCAGTTTCACCTCCCAGGGCAGCCACTGCACCCCTTTACCTTCCTTGTTCACCTCCACAACCTTCTGCTCTTTACGTGTCAAGGACTGCACACTCGATTCAAGATGTGGGTGTGCCACTGTTTACAGACAAAATGATGTAATTTTCCATTTTCTCCCTGATGACATCCAGCATTTTGCTACCACTGCCACACATCTCAGAGAACACTCAGTGCCAAGACTCAAGGCAGATCCTGGGAGCATCACAGCACAGAGCTGAACACAAGGCTGCCATGGTTTAGGTGTTGGGTTTTTTCACCCCCTGGATTCATTACTTTACACTTACTTACATAAGGATTATCCTGCCACCTTTTTACCTGCCTACCTCATTCAGTTGAGTCCTTCTGACAGGGAGATTTTCTCACCATCAGCACAATTTGACTACTTGAAGGAGCTCATATCACCAACAAAATTGGAGACTTCACTGTTCATTACCTTTTCCAGGTCACGGATGAAGGCCCTGAATAAAACTACCTCCACATCACTTCCCATGGCTCGTTTTTCCAATTTGAAAGTCAATTACTAAGCCCTACCCTTTGCCTCCTATTTTTTAGCTACTTTCCTACCCCCAGGAGCACCTTTCCTCCAATTCCGTGGCAACTCAGCTTATCTCTTTTAAATAATATTTGATGCAGGATTTATCAGAAACACCAAAATCCCACTTCTGTCCACTGAACCCCCTGTATCCACACTTATAATAATCTCAAAGAACTCCAGCATCTTAGCATAGTCCCCACACAATCAGGAATAATCTACACTACAGACTCTCTGCTGTGCTCATTAACACACCAGCACAGCTGAACTAAACACTTAATACCACATTTTAAGCTTGAAGCTCCTGTAGCTGCCGTGTCCCAGTGCCTGCTGACTCAGCACAAGCATCCATGGAGATCATCTGCCCCTAATGCCAGACTCCACCTTCCCCTGTGTGTGTCATGCACTGTCTAGTTCTCCTTAGCTGCTCACATTCATTCAGCTCACAGTGCCACTGAATCACAAAAGAAACATGAATTAAGACCACAGGAGACTTTTGGGGAAGTCTGTGTAGCTCATTCAGCCAGCTGATGACACATCAGCACTTCTCACACAATCAAGGTATAGATATATTTGCCAACCTAATGACTAAAGTAAATGCAATAGGATCAGCTCAAATGTTGAAGATCTTCCCATCCCAAAAAGGGTCTACTCCCTGGAACAGCTCCCTGCTGAGTGCACTGCAAACCCCTGAAACTCTGAACAGAAAGGAACTACAGCTCCCAAACAGGAAGCAAGAAAACTGCTGCAAAAGGAACATTTTCTTCCCCTAGACAGGTGTGATTAATAAATATGCACACCCCACCTGACACCTACTTGGGGTTTTATAATCAGTTACATACAGAAAATGATTTCCACATTCAAAAGAATAAACATTTTTACATGATGGGAAGCTATTAAGATTCTGGTTGTGCTGTGAACTTGTAAGCAGACAGCTTTTGCTTGAAGGTGGATTCATTCGACTCTTTTCAAACCCCGTAGACAGCTCTGCAAATCCAGTACAAAGTCACAGGTGTGCCAGGTGGGATGTTCACCAGCCCAACAGGAATATCAAGGGGAGGAGTGGCACACCTCAACGAGACTGGGCTCCATTAAGATGCAATACCCAAAGTTATCAATGGTAGAAATTAATTTAACAATTCATCAGGATGCTCAGGGATCTGCCACAGACACCATTTCCAGGAAGCATTAAATTCCTACTCCTTCCTAAGTACCATCAGTGAAAGTTTGACATTCAAACCTTTGCTTGTCATTTTAATTTCATCTTGGCCATCTCCAAAAGTTTAATTTTTACTCATGACCACAACAGGAAACAACCCCAATTACTTTTCAGTAACACTTTTTTTTTAACCATCTCCCAGCAAACATTTATTTGGTCCTTGATAAGAACTTCCCTCGCTGTCACTCACCAGAAACAAACCTAAATACAAATAAAACACCTGTGAAAAATGTGAACTTTTAAATTTAAGAGTCAGGAATATCACTTTGCATTTCAAGTTTCAGCTGTCCTGATCCCAGCCAGCTCTGTTTCTGTCTCCTCCCATCCCAGCCCTTCTCACCTCACTGCTGTTTGTGGGATCTCCTCTGCCCTGTGGGGAGCTGGTTTAAACAAGCACCAGGAAAAGCAGCAGAGCCCTTAGAGCAGTTTACTTCTATTAGCAAACCACATCCTCCTACTCGAGGCATAAACTCCAGATGCCTGCAGTGCTAATTAAGATCAGCCAGACATGGGAAAGAAATCCTAAATCCTGTACACAGTTTGATTAGAAGCTGCCTGCTAAAGAGGCAACACTTATTTTGGGCACAGATACCATTTAAGAGGTAGTTGAAACGTTCTGGAAAAGCTCTCCCCATCCCAGCAGGTCTTTTCAGGACAGGGAGCTGTTAATGGCCTCAGTGATCTCCCACCACTCTTAGGTGTTGAAAGTAGCACTTGGAAAGCCACGGTCAACACACACATTCCTGTCATCAGGAAGTAAGCTATTCCTAGGGTGAACCCTACAAAGGAGAGATTTCCAGCCTCAGAGCTAGAAAAAACACTTGAAGGCTGGCACACGTGCTGCTAGGGGAAATGTCTCTGTTTACAGGATATTTGCAGTATGCAGATCAACTTCCTTGGCAAAAATCAGCATTTAAAAGGCAACAGGAAGTTAAAAGCTGGTTAATGCAGACACTTCCAGATGCAGTAGCTGGGTTTGATTATTTCTGTGAGTGTAGAGTTTGCTGTATGAGAAGACAATAGGAAAGAAGGACATTTTAAACTGAAATCAATTAAGTTGACTGTCTTATTTAATTACAAGCTACTCTAACAGCAGTGTAGTCTTTCAATCACTTGAAATCTTTGCAAGTCGGTCTCCACCTTGCCTTCTAGTACTCAGACAAATCTTTACACCAACAGCTGGTGGCAAAATAAACGAGCAGGACTGTTCTCCTTTTTAACCTGATGACTCACAGACACTCCACCATTTCACTCCATACCCACACTCCACTGAAGCAGTCGAGTCACTTTATTGATCTGATGGATTCCAGAATAACCCCAATCTGCCTCTATCCTAATACATGACCACTTATACATCCTATATGCTCCTCTATTGCAAAAGGCTTTCACCAGGAGTCTGAAGGAATTACTTACCAGAAATTTCACCACCAACATCTCCTCCCTGGAAAAGAGAGAGAAACATGTTATATCTCACATCTCACAAAGGACATGGGTGGGCACAAACACTTTACTGTGCACAGCATCCTAAATCCAGCAGCACTGACAGGAACCAGAACATCCTCACTGCAGAGCAGAAGGGACAAACGAATTACACTGAGAGCCACGAGCAACAGTTCAGTGTCCTCTCCTTTCTACTGAGCAACTCTGCAACACCAAACACTTATCTGTTAACATGGCCAAGAGCGTTTGTTCTACCCAGGATAATTAATTTCATTTGTGAAATGCTGATCAGCTTCTTTGCAACGTCACTGATAAAGTTTCCTTCACTACATACACAGTTAAACGTTATTTACATACTGAGTCTGTTCACAGGCTGCAGCTTGACACAAAGATACAGAGTCTCCCAGCAGCAGCCGAGGCTCCTCAATGGCATGAGGTTTTATCAGCTTTCATAGATTTAACATTGCTAATTACACAGTGAAACTGCAGAAATTGGGATAAAGAAGCACAGCAACTGACACAAATTTACCACCTTAAATCTCAGGCTGGGCTACAGCTCACCAGCTCCAGCTTCTGCTGTTTGCAGCTGAACTACTGCATAAAAGTAAACTATTCCACATGGGAAGAATCTGTTTGCAAAGCTGAGAACCACAGTGTTTAACACAATTTGGCAGAAAATACAATTAAACTAAACAGTTTGTTTTCTGTGGTAGCAGCTATAAATTTAATTCACTTATATTTGCTAAATTGAAACAAGACATTTTCTGTAACAAAGAACAGTTTTGTGACTTAAAGCTCCTATTAATAACAAAAATGGGTTGTGATGCTTGATGTGAATTACCAAAATAAAACATTAGACAAAAGGTGTCTGCTACAACATTTGAGATCAACTATTTACTTACCCAGCTCTTTTCAGACAACTTAAAGCTCAAGTTTTAAACAACAAGATTTCTTTTTTCCACTAAAATTTGTTCATGCAAGTGCAGGCTACCCTGCATTCCTGTGTTTCTAAGGTCAGAGGAATTACTGGTTTTTTACTGAACCATTGTGCAGAGGAATCCTGTTTTTCCCATTAAATGTAATCACACATTTATCAAATGTCATCATACATCTAGCAAATGTTACTTAATTATCTCTATTAACACTAGAAATCGTGCTCCATATTGCTACCAAGTGAACAGTTTATATAGAAAATAACACACCTAATGGTATTATTAACACCAGTAACAAATAAAACAAGCATTGATGCTACCGAGGCAAGAACTTGTTGAGATGTGAAACCAAGTTTTGTCAGACCCACGCAGCGTTTGCTGCAGGTAACCATTGTTTATAAAATGTCTAAACCCACAATCACACACAGAGCTGAAATTAGATTTCGCAGCACTTCATTACTGTCTCAGCAATAAGACGAGTTAAGAGCTCTGGAAAGTGGTCCCTGCGAAAAATCCAGCCCTCCATCAACATTTAAGAGTATCAGGTGGAACCTTCAGGAAAAAAAGCAGATTGAGAACAAGGCTTCGAATCCTACAATGCTCTCAAGTGTGTGAACATCACTTGTAAGGCAACACCACCCAGGGCGTGAATTGCCCATTATCAGGCTCTTTGTAGTCAAGTACTGACCTTGGGATCTACAAAGTCTCCACAGTTTGCCTCAGTTGAGTTTGTTCTTTGTGGTCCAGATGATTCACAGTTGTCTCTGATTTCACCTGGCTTAGCCCCTACAAGCAGAGATTGATTCCAATCAGGTTGCAAGATAAACTTACCAGGAAAGCAGATCATAAATAGTTACAGGTTTGGGTACTCTGAGGGAGGTGCTTTTTTTTTTTTTTTTTTAATTAAAGTTTGACCA